AGCCAATTTGAACCAGTGCTACAGAAACAGGCACCAGGACATCTGTAAGTGTAGTACAGAGGCAGATAAATCTTTCATAAAGCAGCTACTCTGCTGCACAGACCTGACCACAGGCTCTCCCAGCAAAGCCGCCCCTACATGGAAGAAAACATCTCTTCAAATTGCAACCCCAGGGGCGGCAAAGGTTGTTTTCTATGGTGACTCTCAAACTCACAAATGCTTTTGTTCTTTTAAAGCATAAAACAGCTAATCAATTTACAGAGACATAGATGATGCCTCATCCCTAAACAGCCTAAGCTCTCCCAGGCTCACAGAGGAACACTGTATTTGTGGCCCACACGCGTGACTCTGACCTACAGCTATGCGCAAGCTAGGGGATTTTAAATCTACTGGGACCCAATTGTGTAACTGCAGTTCATGCAAGTATGCACTACAAACTAGTGCTGACAGTAATATGAAGCCCTAAATATTCAATAACACTAGTACATCATAGTGCACAATTCTCAGAATGAGCCAAGACTGTTTTAATTTGTTCTGTCACAAAACGAGACCAGTGAAAATCAGAAACTACTGTAATAAGAACGAACTAGAGCTACTGCTTAAAATAGATAAATTTGAACCCAATTTTTATCCTTTGTAGAGTGGTTTTCAGAGAACTCCAGATTCAGGGGCTAAGTTTAGACTACTGCCATTGTTTTTAAATCTGTTCTAGAAACTCCTCTATGCATATGGAAGAGTTTCAGCAAAATACAACAGTTATGTCAACAAAAGACTGGCAACTGCTGCAAAGCCATGATTATCTCCTAAGGTTTGCAGAGTGGTTAATTTGCCAAAAAGCTCATTAGAAGTAATTCCAGCTACTGAGCCAGAGAAGGGTGGTCTCTGTGAGCACTGGGACTTTGAAGTGGGTTCAAAAGAAATGGGTTCTCCAAAAAGAGAAAGCAGAGGTTCAGCTGCAGGGGCTAGGAGCAGGCTTACACCTGCTTCTCAGCTAGACAGGCACTGGCATCTGGGGGAAACAGGCACCCACCTCCTTCTAGGTGGAAAAACATTGGAGAGGTGCTTTGATTCTGCGGACACTGCTATTTTTTGGCAATCCTTTATCTACTAGCAGAAAAGAATGCTGTATTCCTTCACTGGGAGAAAAAAGGACAGCAAAAAATGCAAGATAAATCATACTCAACGCTATCCTTAATCCATTCTGCTAAAAAGATGGCTAGACCAAAAGATGTCCATGTACTAACCTTGATTAAGAGGTTATTTGTGCCCAGTATACTAAATAAAATAAATTTCAAGAACAGATCAGCCTTAAAAAAATATTACTATTGCTTGACTGCCAACATCAGAGCATGGTTTGGCTTTTGGCTAAGCCAGGAGAAAGGCAAGAAGAGAGTTTAAGTAATTCAGAGCACAACTTCCTTTTGGAAAGTTACTTTAAAAATCAAAGGTCACAGTATTGTCCTAAGTAAAAGGTTTTTGTAACTCATGCTCCATTTTTATTCCATGAGCCTTTAGACATGAGATTTTTCTGATGGCTTACTCTATGCTTAGTACATCTCCAAGCTTCCCAAACTCCCAAAGTAAGTTGAGGGGAAAAATTTAACCCTAAAGGATGTCAGCACTCAGCTTTCAATTACTGCTGGAGAAAAGGTGCTTTGCAGGTGATTTGCTCACTGCAAATCTTTGCCTAGGCAGTCCCTGATGTCAAAAAGTACCAAATGAGACTTTGCAAAGTGCCTGTAAAAGAGGACATGGCATCACAAGTCACAGGTTTAGGCTTTTCTTGCCTGGAATTAGCACTCTATTGTAAGGTCTCTGAGGAAATATCAGCATGTTTTGCAAGCATTTCCATTTAACTTGAAAACCCTTTCCACTCACCACACCATGTTAGGTTAAACTTGCATTTTAACACTGGAGAAAATGGAGCCAACTGAGAAGAGCACTTAAAGAGCTGCCCTAAATAAATAAATAAATAAATAAATAGTCCTACACAGTTTTCTCTTGAAGAATGATGGCTCAGCAGCACTGCCCTGGTTGTGTAAATCTTCCTAAGGGCTACTCTTTATATCAGCCCATACCATAGTTTCAAGGAACAACAGCTGATGTAGCTGTACTGTTAAGTTACTGGGGTTCATGGTGATGTGACTTGATGGCAGCAGTGCCAAAGGAAGTCTTGGTTTGGTCACCACAGTGCACAGGGCTTTGTGCCTGTGCTTACGGAATGGGAGTCAGCACAAGTATATCAATTCCTGGTCATCAGCTACTTCAGAGGAGCCATAGGGCACACAGGTCTGGTAGGATGTGGAAGAATTTCTCAGATATTTTTTTTGGTGTGGAGAGAGAAAAAAACAAAACGACAAACAAAAAAAAACCACCCCAAAACACTAAACAACCCACCAAACCCCAAACCCACAAGCACTGAAAGATGAGGTTAAGTGTAATGACAGCTTTTTCAGCCCAATATCAAGCCTGGCACAACAGCCCAGATCCAGCACTTCTAAGTTCTGTTATCTTTAAAGAATGTTAAAAAAAACACACACACAAAAAAAAAAAAAAAAAAAAAAAAAAGAAAACCCAACCAAAAAACAAGAATAGGTTTTTGTATTCTATGGGTGTGAAATGCAAATGCAAGCAGCTAGAAAAGTTTCACAGACTGTAATGCCTTTGCAAACAGCCCCCAAGGCTGATTTTTCACACATTGCTGGTCTAAAAACAATCTCTATTCAGAAGAGCTATTCCTTAGGGCTTGTAATAAAATTTTTTAGCCATCTCTGATTCAGTGCACTTTTAATCCCATAGGAATGGCTGTCATTTGAGGAACTCGTAATGGATGAGAGGAGAGCCTATGCCCCATTCTTACAGGCGAGAAAAAAAAAAAAGACACCCAAAAAACCCAGCAAAGCCTAGCAGTGTAATTCACTCAAGATGGTTTATACTTTAACATTCTACTTCATTGCACTTCATTGTCATTGAGAAGAAGGTTTTGAACATTCCCCTCAAACACCTCCTTCTATCAGTAATTGTTGTGGACACAAAACACATTTTCTTTTTGTCATAATACAGCAAACTGTTTCACCTGCAGCCTCTCAAATCTCCCAAGCCATCCTGGTCATTCAGTTGTAAGGAAAAGCATTGTGTCCTTGAGCTCAAAGAATAGGCAGCATGCAAATAAATGAAGCAGATGCAATATAGCTCTTACTCTAGGTAAAAAGTAGCAGCTGGTCATGTACACAGGGATTCTTTTTCATTGTGAAACACTTCAAGACATAACTGAAGTTTCTCCATTAATATTTTAGTTCAGAGAAGGGGTATGCTTTAGAAGCAAATCTCCCACCCATTCTTCTTTACCACACTTTCGTTTGTACTGTGGAGCAGTCTCTAAGTGCAAGAATTGGTTTCCTTTCAAATGAAACCAGACTGCAAAATGTGCTCCAGGTACACACTTCTGTTCTTCACCTGCTTATAGGTGTTCCTAGTACAGGACTAGGTCAGAGGTAGTACAAGGCAACTGCAGCACACATGCTACAAAATGCATGTAGTAGGCATCAGCTCCTCAGCACCATGTTGTTCTACAGATCTGCTGCTGTTGGATTGCCTACTAGGCACAGCGCAAAGAGTAACTGCTATTAAGTTGAGCTCCTGGGAGGTTGGATACTTCTCTGTGGGATCTCCCAGCAGCAAGTGGCTGAAACCCCATTTATGTATATTCACTTGGAGATCAGTGGAGATTATTCTCCCTACCAATCTGTTCAGAGTTAAATTCTATTCAAGAGTATTCTTAAAGAATAGGATAAAAATTAGGATTAAAAAGAAAAAGAAAATAAATGCAGTTATATCATAGATGTGTATCAGGGTCCTATGAAAGAGAAGTCTAGCAGATTCAGAGCTCATGTCAGTAAAGACTTCAATTCCATGTCTACTGGTAGCTGAATATTGGTGTGGATTTCAGTAAAAAGTAGCTTTATAAATGAAGGAATGATAGCTAACATCTAACTAGAGGCAACAGGACAAACCCCTTAACATTACTGTTTACTATCAGCAATCTCTACTATCAGAATAAATTGCCTAATGAAAAAGACATACATACACACAACTTTATCTCCTGCTAATGTTGTGATATTTTTGCCTTTAATAATGGGATAAATCAGAGCTTTAGGGCATGTCCTACTGTTCAAACAAAAGACTTAGTCTGCAATAAGCTCCCATTATGAGAAGCCAAAGCCACAGTCTCTCCCTGCAGGATCTCTCTCAATGAGGCTATATCTAGACTAAGCCCAAGAACCTACTTGTGGGTCAAGTAATCTTAAACCTGCTGACTAGGGAAAAATGGGGACATTCAGTGTTCAGTTGCCTTCAGCACTTTACAAGATGCCTTCACTTGTCTGATGGGTACAATTGTGCTGAGAGTTCTCTGGCTGACTCTGTGCAAAGCCTTTCACAAACAAACCTGACTGTTTCCTGCCTGGTCAAAAAATGGATCAGCAACAGGTTCACCAACAGAATAGGCAAGGATGTGGGGGAAGAGGACATAGTGCAGCAACAGTGCTCAGCAAAGGACATACCACGTCTTTCACTGCAAGGACAGAAGGACCCCGACATCCTGGGACAAACCACAAGATCCACCCACTGCTGCCAGCTCCCTGCTCTTGACCATTTCACAGGGACGTGACATCTAAGTCAAAATACTCTAGATGCCATGAATCTAAATTCAAAAGGAATAAAACATTTCTTTCTTCTATTTGCCTATGCAATGATTCTCTTGGTTTGCTCGACTCAGGAAAGAACATTATCTCTGAAGCATTCAGAAAATATCAGTGAGGTACAAAAAGATCAAGTAGCCACCCTCAGCTGAGCTATGAAAGCAGCATTTTAGCTCAACCTAAAGGTAGCACATATAACAAAAAGTAGACATTTTTCCTGTGATATCATCAGCCTTAGTATATTTTTCTCTTTTTACTTTTAAAGAGCTGCAGAAAAGTAACTTACAATTATCGTGTCTTCAATTAAACATGCTGTGGGGCTTTTGAGGGATCCAGCATGAAAATGTTGTCTGAAAAAGAAAATTGACAAGCTGCTAAGAGTTAGTGGTAAGTTAATTAAGTGAAGATTGACAGATTGTGACAAACTATCATGGGATTCCTAGATCCTCTTCTCTAGATAAAGTGCTCTAACTGATGATGAAGGTAATGCAAAGGAAAAAGCATCAAAAGCTGGTGTAGCTGAAGTGTGTCATATCAGGATTTCTGTCAAATGAGCCAGAGCTCTTGATCTCCAATATATTTTGTAAAGAAAGTTATGCTCTGAACAAACAGCACACATTGTAAAAGAAAGCAAAATGGAAGCTTTTTATGCAATCAAAAATTTCAAAATCAAAAATGAATTACTGAGCAATTACTGCCCCCCACAGTGGTAAGACTGCTGGCAATGCTTAAGTGTATAGACTTTTTTTAAATGATCATTTAAATGATCAAAATCCTCTTTCTCCATAAACCACTTCAGCTGGCTAATAGAAATAAATGGTTGAATGCATTACAGTGGATCGCAGCCTTTCAAGCCATAGCCGTCTCCTAAAGTCAGCAGTTTATGAATAAATAAAGTAACAGAGTTCTCATGAAACTTGCAAATAAAGAAACCACCCTGCTTAAGATGAGGCTATTCACATGTCAGTAATTACCTCCAAGAATTCAAATACACAGCATCCCAGCTCTGTCATCTCTCAATTTTGACTTTTCCCCCTCCTCCCTCGCACTCCATTGATTAAAAAGTATAGTCTTTTTATTCAATTTGGTTTTGGGAACCTTGTTACATTTAAGAGCATGCAAGACGGGCTCCCTGCATGTCCCACATAGGGAAGTTCCCTCCACCCTGGGCACCTGGGACAAGGTAAAAAAAAAAATGGGCTCCAACACCACCTCCTATTTCTAGAGCTGCCTGCAGAGTCCCCCTGCAGCAGGAGGTGTTCCTATTTACACTTGTTAAACATGGAGATTATGTATTCTACCTTATATCTTTGAACAAATCCACTCTTTTAAAGGATGTGTGGGGACAGGTTTCCTGCCAAAAAAACAAACAAAACCAGTCCTCAAGACAGTGCCTCACCTCCACATTCCCCTTGAAAGCTCTGATATTTCTTGAGCACTGTACAGGTGCTCAGCAAAAGTGTTTGGCTTTAATGAAAAACTAAGGGGAAAAAAGGTATAAACCTGTCAAACAAACAAACTAGCTATCTAAGGGATCTAGCCAAAAGGAACAAGCCTATTACAGGAATCATTTCTGCACCAATATGTCACTGCACTCTACTCTGTGCATAATTATTACCTAAGTCCAGCCATCCCATGCATTATTAATAGGACTAGCCAACCTCAGGTCCCCATGCAGCCCTAAAGCAGATATATTAAATATTCCCAGCAGCACACAGGCAACCATCCATGATCAGCAACAGACTATACAGTTAAGTCAATGCCTCTTTTTCAAGAGTTTTGTTCTGGTGTGATCAACAAGGCTGCTCTCACCCATTGTCCAAACTGCTTTTACTGTCAAACCTGAGCAGCATTTCCTCATTTCTCTATGAAGCATACAACTTTACCCTTTACTGGGAGAAATACAGTCTTGTGTAGATGCTAAAGGGTTCTGGGAACAGAAAACAACCTAAGCAAATTGACAGCAGAAAAACAAGAGGTGGTAGGGAGTCAGCGCTAAAGGATTAAAATGGGAGAAGGGGAAGGAAGAACAATGCTCTTACTGCTGCTGAGGGCAGTGGTGACATTTGTATGCTGTTCATGTGTCTGCCCTGGCTATAAACTTGTTACTTAATACAGGCATATTTAAATCAATCTCCCAGTTTATAATTCAGCATTACTCAGATCTGGGCAACTACAATTCTTGCCCCTTCTAAATTTGCTTAATACTCCTCTAGCCACTATTTCTAACTGCTGTGCTTAGTTGTAGAGTGGTGGTTTTCCAGAACTCCACAGCTTTAGTAAAATCCTTAAGTGAAATGCTGTTTTTCCACAAATGTGAAGGCCCTTTCTCATGAGGGGACATGGACCAGGGCCAACATGCTCCAACTGCAGGGAAGGGAATTTCTTTCTCAGAAGAGGATCTGGATCCAAACCATTCCCTCAGAAAACACACAAGTATTACATAAATACATGACATTAGACAGTGCAAATTGTAGTGCTTCTTGCATCCCATGTAAGGTGTGATTATGGGATGATTCAAATTAGCAGGCCTGGAAGTTTAAATGCTTCAGCAGCAAGTCAAGAAAATACCCACAAGTTAGATGTTAGGGGAATATTTGCTATGAAAAAATTCAGCTAGATATTTACAGGGGCAAGCAGTAATAGAAATGTGAATATGCCTTGCAAAAAAAACCCAAACAAACCAAAAACAAAACAAATAAAAAAAAAGTGAGGAAAGGGTGAAAGTCTAAATAATGCCATGATATTTAAAAATGTATTCTTTTCACTGTAGATTACAAAGAGCAGAAAGAACAAGAAACACAGAAGAGATGCCTGTGCTGGAAAGCAGCAGGAAGTTTACAGCCTTGCTCGACTGACTGCTGTCAGAGGAGCAGTACGGTATGTTAGATGCACACTACTGTTTTTGTCTAACAGATACCACACACCTGAAAGACAAAGATATCAAGCTAGCCCTTGGGCTCCTGCTTGTTGCTGGGAAGCCTGGAGTATTTGACATTTCCTATCAGTAAATATAAAGCCTGAAAGGTTTCCGAATCACAGTGGGAGGCATGGCAAGTGGATGAGTAGATTTGCTGCAACATATGGTTTGTTGGAGGAGTGAGACACTTAATGTAATAGTTATCAATACCCGCATGTGTATTTCAAATAAGATAAAAGTTAATTAGTTTCAAATTCCATCCTCCTTTTCTGTTAATATTTTTTTTTTTTAAATCAGTCTGTGAACTACTGGCAAAAAAATCTAGCACCAAAATCAGGCTGTGTGAGAACTTGAAGTAATCCTCCCAGTGACACTCTTCACAAAACAGCTATCTTGAACTGCTGCTATCATGTTTGTAATTTACAGCACGAAATACAATTTTGTGAATTCCTCTCCCACAGCATGACAAATACCTCCAGTGCAATATTATAAGGGGGCAGGGTGGGAGTGATTCAAAACAGGCTGTTTTCAGTTTCAACAATCTAAAGATGCTATTAGCAGATTACCCAAACAATATATTATTGCTGAACTAAGATGTGTTCAAAAACACTGAGTCATGCTTCTAAATTAAAGAAATTAGTTTGAAATTATAAATATTCTAAATAAACTCCAGCACAGGTTGGGTTCTTTGTCAGTTGCTGTAATCTTCCATAAGCCACATTACTCATGTTTCCACTTGTTCCTTGCATGAACAAGGGGTAAAATGTGAAAGAGAGGGGGAGGGGAAAGTGGGATAGAAGTCAAGTTTTGGAAAAATAAAACCAGCAAGTATCACAGTAACATTAAAAGCCTCACCCAAGAGAATTGTTCTCAAAGACCTGCTTTTGGGGGATTTTAGTTCAAATTGTGGCCAATGGCAGGGGCATAACCTGCAGTAGATTTGAAGGGTTAGAAAGTATCTTGCTAGGATGTGTAGTAAAATGGGCAAAAATCAAACATCCCAAGGCAACAGTTACTCATACAACTGAAAAGAGCCGGCTTGCAAGCAGCTTGCTGTTTACTGCAGGGATCTTCATTCTTGAGAGTTAGCCTTACATTTCAAAGTGTATTTTTAAATCCGTGAGCATTAGACAAAAGACATGGGGGGGGGAATAAAAAAGCTATTTTGGTTCTGCTTTTATTTCTGTGGTTTGTTAGACATTGTGGGAGTGTAGAGAGATAAGATAAGCCAGTCTCAAAGCCTTCTCTTATGTTTATATCCAGCCAGACCTGCTGTTTATCACTCTGCCATTTAACTCACTCTCTATTAAGAAGAAAAGATGAGGGGAAAAATTAGTCTGGCTGCAGCTCGAACAGCTTCCTTAGAGGAATGTGATGCATGCAGTAAGAAGGGTTGTTTGAGGGAGAACTGTGAGCTGAGCTACTTATCTAAGGTAGCCAGATCTTTGGAGGCTGAAGAGTAGGGCTGGTTATCACAAGAGCACAGCCTGCTACTTTTGTCTCTTTGTCTCCCTTTAGTTTATCTCCCATTTTAAAGCTCAGAGCCCCCATCAATACTCAAAGGATGGTGCACATTTTTGTTTTAGTGGTTATGATTCTCATGCTGTCTCAAGAAGAGGAAAAGGAATCTGGATATCCATATCTCTCTAGGTTGTCTTGTATTTTTGGTCCAGGAGGTAGGTCTTGAACACACAGAATGTCCCTGCCTGTGTACAGAAGAAACCAGTCCTTTGGAAATGTTTCTCTGTATTTTGCTCTCCTAACAGCCTCTTGGCTAAATCCCTGAAGTTTTGGGAGAGACAGAAAAGCTTTGACACAAAGGCAGAGGCTGTTCTAGGAATACCTTTGCCCTGAAATGCATTGACCTCTTCTAGCACAACTCAGCCCTCGCATGGTGAGTTAAAGTCCATCTCACACCTGTGTCCTACTCAAACAGAAAAAGGGATGACCTTAGTAACAAAGAGTTGTCTCTGACACGAAGCTATACTTTGATATTTCACCCATGCTGTAAAAAGGGTAACAAGCAGCAGGGAAGATGGTGGACTGAATGCAGGAGGTGGGAAAGTGCCAGTAAGGAACTCTGTTTCAAAGAGAAAGATTTAGGATAAAGATCCTGCTCACTGGTCATGAGCACTGCAGAAATATACAAAAAAAAAAAACCCTCAGTGGACAGAAGGTGATTGCAGAGAACCGAGCAGAAATTGGACAGATAAGGTAATAATAATCAACTTTGGTCCCCCTATGATTATTGTCTGTATTGTACTGTCTACTCGTCGTCTGGATATGGACACAAATGAAGGAACAGGTTAGGGGTTCCCTTTGACTCGGAAGCAAAGAAGGGAGTTTTTCAACATGCATCATCACTCTTAAGGAATTCATGACATTCCCAGAAGCAGCAGCTTGCTGCAGACACACTCTAGATTTCCAGGTCTAATCCAGAGCCACACATTGGGGTGTAGAAGTTATGTTCCAGACTTGATTCTGATTTTCTCAAATAGGCAGAATAATAAAGCCATCCATTTTAGGCACTGACACTAGCTGTATCTCTAGTACACATGCTGGAATTTGCCAGCATTTCTTCTTTCCCTGCTTTACATTTCATTCCTCCCACAGTTCTTTGGCTTCTGAGTAGAACATATCCCTGCTAGCAATGATGTGCTGGATTGCAGCCCTTTAAGAAAGGGCATGCTATCATGGTGACTATGTGTCTTGAAAAGGGGAGTTCTGATAGTCCAGGGTCATTGTAACCAATTACACCATCCAGGTATTCAATGATCCTAACCTTGACACTGAAATAGTGACTGGCTGCATTCTCCTACACAGTCTCCCTATTCCACCTGTTTTTTCAGAGGAAAGAATACATAGACCACCCCTGTATCATAAAAACCTATTTCATGCTGTGCACACGGAGCTGCTCTAAGTTACTCTTGGTTTCTGACTAAGTCAAATCCCTGAGGAACAGTCTGGAAATAGGAAATGAGGCTGACAAAGAATTAAGAAAAATGCTGTCCAGGGGAAATATTGGCTCCAGCTTAACGTTTCTAATTTCTCTTTTCATCTTAGTAGCAGCAGTGGGGAAGAAAAGGTCCTTGGTTCTCACACCCTTTCCAATAATAATAATTTTCACACAGCACCTAAAAAAGTCTTAGGCTGTACTAGTAGAAAAATCAAGTAGAGATGACTACAAGAATTCTTGGAGTGGTTATCTCAAGTGAAGTTTGGTACTGTAGCAGCAGACAATGAAGCAACAGAGAAGACATTTTAAACAGAGCATTCAAGCACATGCTTTCTAGTTAAGTAACTGTTCAGAAATCACAAATGCCAACTGAAAAAAAGCTCAGAACAATTATCCACAGGCATGAAAACACATGGTAAACCCTGCCTATGTAACAGGAGGAGAAAGTATTAAGACAACTGTGCCGGGACACACAGATTGGGTCCCAGGTCTATGAGGATTTCAGGCTGGAGGCATCAACACCTGCATCTTCTTCTGGAGCATGCTCTGACACCTCTCTCAGCCTCACTGTTGTCATAGCAATAGAGAAGATGGCCTATGTCAATAAGCCAAACAACTCATGGCTGTTGTACTCTGCAAACAGCCTCCCATGTTCAGAGAGAAAATATTTAACTCTGGAGCATATTAAGAGGAGGGAAAAGAATCAGCAGCAAGCTACACCCTCAAGCATTCAACTGAGATTTCTGCTTTTCTCAAGTAATCTCTTCAGGCTTATATTGGCTGGCAACCAGCCTGTTTGCCTTACTTACTCTGGAACAAATAGCTGGCCACAGAGTTTTACTTGGAGGGCAGCTTGAAGGGAAAGTATTTAGCATCTACTACACCTGCTGAGTAGGTATGGTTCTGTGCTATTTCTACTACACATCTTCCAAGTGCAAGGCATTCCACAGTCATATGCTCTACTTAACCTGGCATTAAAGATCATTCATCTTCCACACGCAAACCTTCCTGCAATTCCTAGCCTAAACATGTTTCCAGCTTTATACTAACACTGTCTCTCATTGCAAAACACTTTTTTTTCCTTCTTCCTCAGTGTTTTCTCTATCAGATAATAATCTCCATCTCTATTACCCTTTCACTTTTGACAGTCTCTATACCTCCCAGCCTCCTTCATCCTCTGTCCCACTCTCTTTTGAACAAGCAATAGAAGGACAAGGAGGTTGTCAGGATTTTTTTGCACGCAACATTCTAGACCACCTCTGGGGATTGCCTCCTACCTTTGGCTGACTCAGTTCATCTAGAGCACTCCCAGCTGTGCAGGGTCATGGCCAGGCTGGATAGCAGAGGACAAATCCTGCCAGCAAAGTTGCAGCACATCAAGCAGATCTCAGTAAAATATCACCACCAACCAAGTTCAAAACACAGAAAAGTCTGAACAGCACCATTACCTTTTGTTCAGGGAAAGCAAGCAGCTTGTGAGGCCTTTAGGACTCCCAGACTGCAGATGCGATTGAAAACAGCTGAGGAGGCACAGCCAGGTGAATGAACAACCCCACACTAAACTCTAAAGGGATGCGGTTCTACTTTTCTTTTCTTACGAGGGCCACTTGCCTTTAAGTGACTGATTTTCAATTACATGAAGCATTTGTATCAGTTTGAATTTGCAGATCTGCTGGATTGTAGTAGTTAGAAAGGCCTGAAAGCACAGTAACGATAGTAGAGGTTGCAGCCAGTTTTCTAGACTGCATTGTGCACAGTTACTGTAGGGGAAAGGAGGGAGTTCAGCATGTAAGGATGTATGGATGTATGAAAATTTGTTTAGCAGCTACATTGGTTCTTTACACTAACTTGTCTATTTACCTTTGACTTCAGGAACTCAGTGATCTATGCTTACTGTCACTGCAGATAGATGAATAGAGGATTCCTAATTTTTAGGAACAACTTGGAGTAATTCTGTTTCTTTTAAAAGAAGAATATGACAGTCAAAGATGAGAAAGAAAGGAAAGCCTACAAGAGCTTAAAATTCAACACCTTAACCCAAGTTTTGACTACTACACTTATGGTATGCTTAACCAGCCCATGCACTTTTTTACCAGAACAGCTGCATTTTAGTCCTTCTTCTGATCTTGTCTTATAAACATCAGGTCATATTTCTAACTATTCATCACTAACCTAAGGATCAGTCCCTAGCCTCACCTTAAATTAAGGCCAGCAGTTTAACACTAGTACAGTCATCCAGGTGCCTGTTATTTAACCACATGCACCTGGAAGGATCCAATCCTGGCCAGCACGAATTCCCCACAATACAATCAACATCAAAATTAACCTACTGGTTACTGGTTGTTTTTTTTGGTTTTTTTTTTTTTTTTTTTTTTTTTTTTGGGGGGGGGGGGGGTGGTGTGTGTTTATTCCTGAACTATTTTTTATTTCTAAATCACATGTCATATTTTCTAAAGACATTTCAATGTTTTTATTTTGACAAGTTTTTACAGAAAGGTAGATCTTTTCCTCTCCCAGTTTACCAGATCAGCTCCTACCATTGCAAGCATCTCATGCAACTTGTTCCCGTGTATCAGGATTTTTAATTCAGTTGTCCTTTTGCCTCTCTACCTTTTTCTGTAATACAACAAATTTTTCCTGCACAAGACAGAAGTATTGGTGTGATTGGTGTGAAGGAACTCTGCAATAGAGCTGTTCTGGATTTAACACTGTGAACCAGGATCTGACCCATTAATGCTGGAAGCAACCATTATTATTAAAATGGGGCATAGTGGAGTTGCTAATATTCAGCTGACATGAAGTAAAAAAATGCTACCTGAAAAAAAAAAGAATACCATCGTCATCACAGACTATATATCCTCAGAAAGAAACTGGAGGATACTATTCAAACCTAGTCCAGATTAGTACCCACACTAACACAGGATGAAGTTGTACGTGTTACACAGGCCCTTTTGCTTATTTCAGCTGTCTGGATACTCACTGTTCAACCATTTTGATTTTGTGCTCCACATCTCAACACGAGAGGAGAAAAGTTTTCATTTGCTGGGATAGTGCTCAGGCTTTTATTACACAGGCAGCAATAGGAAGAAAAGCGTTTTCAGGTTTAGTGGGAGAGAAGTGAACAATGATCTCAGACTGAAAGCAGCTATTCTCATGATGCTATGGCCTTGGCATTGCCCTGTGCAGTGTGGTGCCCCTGAAGAATCCTCTGCAGTCAGCGAGCTATTCTCAGATATTGCACTGCTGACATATCCATACCCAGGTGAGGATGGGAATGCTTTTTCTTTTGGACTCAGCAGTCCCAGTTTCAATTCATAATCCTATTTTTCTTCAATTTTGCCCCCGTGTGGACTACATGCCCCACAGCTGTGTTACACCACAGATACAACCACTGTGACTGGTTCCCCACCTGCGCTGCTTGCTGTGGTTGGCACTCCCAGCAGCATGGATTTTGCATGGACCTGGGCCAAGCGGAACTCTCCCAGCCCTGGACCTGCAAACTAGAGAGATGGTTTTGCCCCATCTTCACTAATGGATGTCAGATCATCATTCTGAGTGCATCAGAAGGCATAACAGCCTAAGGGAGGCTGGGTTCCAGACCTGCTTCAGAGGTTACTTCCCAAAATGCATTCTGCTGATTCATCCCCTGCTGACACTGCTGACTTCCTGTAAACGCCTGACCCAGGAAGATAAATTACCATTAAGGCTGACAAGGATATACCCTCCGTGACAATAACTCACACTGCTGTTTCCTAGCACAAAAGAACATCACTTTTGCTTTGGCAGAGTCAGTATATCATTTGGGATTATTAATGTGAGCATCTCTTGCAGACACTAATGAGGCTGGTGCACTCTTGACATAGGACAGCCATACTCACACCATGGGGCTCAGACACCGAGCAGTGACCATCATTCTCAGGTGAAGAGTGATTTGTTGCAAAGGACTAATTTCATAATGTCTTCATTCTCAGCAAAAACTTCTAAATGGCATTACTCATCCCTCATGATACATGAGATATCTTAGAAAATGGCCACTACTGCTAGGCAGGATGGAAATTATGAGGGCCATCAAATAAGTCTGAAGGCTTCAGAGCAGGAACTGATCACCAGGTAGAAGCAGGAAGGAATGTCTCCTCAGCCATAGCATTACTGTAGGAAGATCATGGCACTGGTAAGGCAGGGAGGGAAACTGGTTTTAAAACATGCAGTGGGGCCATGGCTAAAAAAGGAGCAATTCCACAGCAATAGTTACAGAAGCCCCTTTGAAGACAAGCAGACTGTGGTGTGTTCACCCTTCCTAGAGTAAATATCCACAATGCTCCACATATTATAAAGTAATCATATAATTCAAGGTTAATGCTTCAAGACACTCTTAAAGGTACAAATACGTTATAGTGTGCACTACTTTAATTACAGCTAAAATTATTTCCAGCATTTTCACTTTGGTACTGAAACATCTGTTTGTGTCTGCAACAAGCCTCTCTTATCCCACAGCAAATTGCATAATGTTTTCATTAGCACCATCTAGCAAATGACAAGGCAATATTCCAGTAATGTTTCTCCCACTAACAGATGTGATCTTGTTGAAATCTCTCCCTTTGGTTCCCTTTAACTTCTTTCTCCCCTGGAATGAGAGGATATAGAAAGGGGGGAGAATAAAACATTACAACAAAGGGGAAGTTAAGCAACCTCATTACAACCAACCTAGAGCAGCAAATGATTTGAGGTTTGAAGAAAGGGAACTTGCATGTTATTTGCAGTTGTTCCTTTAGATATAATTACCAACAATGTGCCTCAACCCAAGAAAGCAAAGGGAATTCATCTGCACAAGAAACTGATGATGGATGCAATAAAGAGTAACTTCATGCTGCCAAATAAACACTTTCAGCATTCCTAAAATTACAGCATAGCAGTTCCATAGCTGTAAGAAATCCTTTTTTATTCTTCCCACTTAGCCTGGAGTATATCAGGACTTCATTTTTTAAAATCAGCAACTGAGAAGTCAGATTTAGTGCACAAAAAGAGTGATAAAGTGTGGGTCTCTCTTACTCTCCTCTTCCTATGTCTTGGTACTGTCCTTCAGGGATCATTCCTACAGGATTTACCATCCCATCCTCAGTTTCTGATCTGAGCAAGTTTTTTTTGGGTGAGTTGATGGTCCTGGTGAAGCCATTAATAGGCCCCAGATTTCTGTACCTAGAAGTGAACTTTTATATTACAAAGATTTACTCCAGCTCTTGCAAAGGTTGTCTACCCCAAAAGTGTGGTTTAGTGTACATGAAGTTAGGTTGAAAAATGATTACACTGCCACAACAGTAAACACTTAGTTAATTTTAAGATTTTCCTGGCTTTTCGGTTTTTGGCACTGTCTTTTAAAAACTTCTCTCCCCAGTTGTGAAGGCTACAAAATAAAACTTAAAATCTTCCTTAATCAAGTGGGAAATTAAAGAAAAAATACTCTTGTAATGGATTGCAATGCTATATTTGAGTACACCATCAACAGCCATCTAGTAGACAACAGAATCATCAGTCCTTGCTGATGTTTATTTCTGGATATCCCTTAAGTGAATAAAAATCATCTTGAGTTACTCACTCTGCTCATGCTGATGTGCTCTGTGGATGTGTCCTTGCTCCAGACCTCATTTAGAGGATGTTATGACTCTTCACTCCCTTATGGCTTGATTAGAGCAACCTACTCTGTCTTCTTTTACAGTCCAGATTCCTTCAGACTCATGCAATGTGTTACAACTGTTTCTACAGGGCAAGCTGCTAAACTTCTAACTGCTTTGCATCATTGCAAAATTTGCCAGAAAACAGGAAATTTGTGTCAGGTTATGTATAAAGTTTTTTGAACCATATTTGCTTTATGGTTCAAAGACACCAACCAAATGATAAAAACCTTGAACTAGGACTTGGAACAGATATGATAAAAAATATAGTTATTTCAATTTCAAATTGTGCAACTGAAGCACAATCAGGTTTGAAAGTCATTGTTATGCTGAAAACCTACAACAGATGTAAGGTTGGAATCTGAAATTGCTCTTCAGAAATTACTTGGACTCTCATCTTCTTGACTAAGTGTCTACTCTCAGAGTGGTTTATGCTCTGCTTCTGAATCAACACTCATTGCCTTCTTTATCTTCTTTGTCTTTTCTGCATCTGCTTGATTAACCATTCTTTATTTCGTGAATGTTGCCAAACTTTCTATTTACCTATAACTGTGTTCCTGTGTTTCTGGATCATTAGGCATATAAATTAAATTAAATTGCAAATTGAGTATATAATGGTGCATAGGCAGGGTCTTGAAGAATAGGGAGGACTTTATTGAGGGAAGATATTCCCGCATCTGTAATTCTGACCTGCTCAGTCTTTCTGAAAGGATTCCTCAACAGATTTGAAATTAAATCATTTCAAATAGGTTTTGCAGCTTTTGTAGGAAATTATTTTTTCTGGTGTTGAAGTTTTCCAGAAAAAGAAGGTCTGTTTGTTGTTGGGAACGTGTCTACTGCTAGATTAGTATCTCTGTTGAGTTAAATTTAGATATTTAAACTTAGTGACCTGAACTAAATGGATATTTTACCTTGCTTTCCACTGGAAAGGAATGCAAGTATTTGGATCCTTGAGCCCAGACAAAGATTTAGCTTTGCCACTCCTCTCACTGGTTAGAGAGATCCCAGCAGCTGGAATACCTCAGTGTAGTGGCTTCATATGTGCCAGTTTTCCCTGAAAATCACTAGAAAAATCAGGACAGGTCAGACAATCCAATTACCCCTTCCTCTCTTATGTAGGATAATCTTTGACAGAATTGAAACCTTTGTCCATTCATGGGGAATGGGAGAGTCATGTTTCTATTTTCTTTTCCTCAAACATGAAGGAAGAAACCCCATCCAGTTATGAGGGCTTTTTCTCCCAGAATGAATTGGCTTAATTTTGGATCATCCATGACTCAATAACATTGGGCTTTGCTCAGGATGTGTCATTGTTGGTTCTGCTTTATATATATTGCTCATTTCTAACACCATGATTCACATGTGGCTCCCTAAACATCAGCTGAACACTGAGTATGGAAGCAAGTGGCAAAATGAAATTATAGTCATCTTCTTTGGTATTAGTGGTCAGTAAAGTATTACTGGCACTTTTGGCAAGGAAAGGCTTTTTATCCTTCTAACTTTCTGGATGCAGGGTATCACTTGTCTTGTACATTTTTTGCATTGTTGTTAGTCTGTTTTATATACTGAAAAGTACCTTTGATAAAACAGCAGGTGCTTCAGAAGACTGATTTACTCCAGTGCCAAAGCCATAATCACCAATGCAAGTCTTCTAATAAACAAATAA